CGGACTCCAACTCCCCGGCTCCTTTCCCGCCCTGGTGAAACCGGACCCTGCCTCTCCGTCTCCCGCCGGGGTCCCGACTTTCCCGGTTGAGGGGCTCCTCTGCTTTCGCGGGGGCCGAGGGGCCCCGGGCAAAAAGCCTCCGAAGTCCCGCGCCTCCCCCCGGAAAAAAGGAGAAGATACGGCATTTGGGGGAGTCAATTGAAAGCAGCTGTTACATACCCTTAAAGCCCCAAGCGAGGAATCCTGAATGGAGGGGCACGCCCCCCGGCGCCGATTGGCCGAGGCGGAGGGACCGTTGTGGTCGGGGCGGGGATTAAGGCTACAATTTAGGCCACACCTTCTCCCCCCCGGAAGTGCCCCCCGGCCGGGCTGCGTATGAAAGGGCTTGGCTGGACGGTCCGCGCCTGTAAGTATTCGCAGCCTGGCGATGCGCGCGGTGGGGGCTCCGGGAAGGGAGACTGGAGAACGTGGGGATGTCGTTCCCGGCCCGTGTTTTCCGCTTGGGAGAGAGCCGTGTTGCGAGAATTCAAACCCTGGGCTGGCACCGCCGAGGGGGTGTCCAAACCCTCCGGGCACCCACGCTCGGTTTGGAAAAAGTTGCCGCTCCAAGAGATCTTGAGATGCGGCTCCCTCTGATGGGCATACTCCGGGTTCGCCGTTATCCGGGATCTGCCCCCCTTCCCTGTTATTTGCACGATAACCCTGCGAGGTGGGCTAGAGCAGGGTTTCTCAACGTCGTTTCGCCCGTGGCCCCCTGCCGATCTGGTTTTCCTCCTGGCCCCGGCCCCCCGTCCGGGTGCCATGACAAGATAGGGGCGTGAGAGAGGAACTGGGGCGTTCTCTGGCGTCAGCCGGGCAGCATTTGCAGTATAATTATATTTTTAATTGATTCTGGCTTCTCTGCACACCACCCAGAGTCGTTTCTTTAACGAGATGGGTGGTGACAAATTTGATATATAAATATAAATACATAAAATATATAAAACAATACGCTCTGCTTTCCTGTGGCCCCCTCAGCGTGTACTGTGGCCTCCCTTATGTTTTTCACCAATAGCCCCCTTGAAACATCCTACACCCCCCACCCCCGGTTGCATCCACCCATCCCTTCAGGACTGGCAGGAGAGGCATGTTATGGGTCCCATCTACGAAAGCGTGTCATCTGGGGGGACCCAGGAAGAGGGCCTTTTCTGCCATGGTGCCTGCCCTATGGGGGGACCTTAGATGGCCCCGACCCTCCCAGCTTTAGGAAGGCCCTGAACACGTGGCTCTGCCGCCATGCCCGGGGAGGTGGCGAGAGTGGGCAGCTCTTACCGTAGCCGTGTGCAGCTGATGCAGGACGAATTCTGCTGCTGATCACGATTCTCTGCTTTTTTAAAGCTGCTTGTGGATAGTTTTTATACATTGGTCTGTTGGTTTTTCCCTTGTTTTTATTGGATGGTTTTTAGCAGCTGCGAGCCTCCCAGAGTTGCGTAGATGAGGTGGGCATCTGTACAAATTGGATTAACTGTAAACCTGGGGGGCCCAGTTGAGAGCCTCTGGGCCGGGTGAGAGACTGGGTGAAGTGCGTGCACGTTTATGCAGAAGTCAGACCCGGCTGCGTTAATTCACTGGGGCATTTCAAGGCTTTTAGCCTAAATCCGCACGTCCTGCCGGATCAGCCCCGTGGTCCTTGAACCCCACGTTCCTCATCAGTCCCCCAGGATGCTCGGCTGTGGAGTCGTTTTTCTCCAAAGGAGGCCAGCCTAGACGGCGGCCGTACTTGAAGTATCCTGCAAGTTTGTTTCTATTCTTTTAACATCCATCGATTCTGTTTTGCTACGTGCCTGAAAAGCAACATCCTAAAAGAGTGTTTTTCAACTCTGGCAACTTGAAGATGGGTGGACTTCAACTCCCAGAATTCCCCAGCCAGCATGCACGAATTCTGGGGGTTGAAGTCCACCCATCTTCAAGTTGCCAGAGTTGAAAAACACTCTTTTAGGATGTTGCCTTTCAGGCACGTAGCAAAACAGAATCGATGGATGTTAAAAGAATAGAAACAAACTTGCAGGATACTTCAAGTACGGCCGCCGTCTAGGCTGTCCTCCTTTGGTGAACAACGACTTCAAAGCCCGACCACCCCGGGGGCCGATGAGGAAAGTGGGGGGTCAGGACCACGGGGGC